AGACGTGAGAGCAATGAGGTTTAGGGTTTAGGGTTTTAGGGGTTTAGGGTTTAGGGGTTTAGGGTTTAGGGAGCCCGGGTTTGTCACGCTTTCCCCGTGGTCAAGGGCAATTCGGTGTAGGGTTTGGGTGGGCTTGTTGCAATGGTTTGCAATGGTTGTAATTACTATTAGTACTATTTATTACCACTATTACTACTACTATTACAATTCGTATTATTACTTATACTATTATCACTACTTCTTTTGTTACTATTATTCGCAATTGTTCTTACTGTTCTTATTACTAGAGGTCTAGAGGTTGTCGCAGAACAAACCGTTGGTTAAAAGCCCTTGCGGCAGGACCACCCAAAGCTTGTTGCAAGCCCAATGTGTTTGGGTCTCTCCCAGGGGGTTAGGGTTTAGAGGTTTAGGAGTTAGGGTTTAGGGAAGGTAGAAAATGCGTGGCGACATGTAAATTGGCATAGCCAGGGTAGCACCAGTAGCCAGAATCACGATGACCATGACCATGAACTATGATGGACACAACGCTGACATTGCCAACCCAAAGATGTGAATCCCTGAAAATGGAAACCTACCTGCCCCCAAACCACATGAGCTATATAGTCTAAACTCCTGAAAAGGGGGTTACATTGCCAACTACGAGAAGGCCACAGAGCCTCTTTGTTCGAGAGGAAGTCGACGCCGAAGCAATGTAAAACATTTGGCCTGCAGTCAAGCAGGAGTCTTGTAAGCTAGTGTATGAACAAGTGACAAGCGTGAGAAAACCAAGTCCCAATAGCAAGCCACACAGACAAGACCCAACAACAGCTTGAGGTGAGCTTCACGGGGAAATGGGGCATAGCTATATATCATAGTAGTTTCCATTTTCTTTTCCATTACCCCAATATAGCCCTAATATAACCCCCATATAACCCCTATAACCCCTAATGCTTGTATCACGGCCCAGGGCTCAGTCTGAATCCGAAAGGTTGACCTGCGTCATGTACATCGAATTTAAACGTGGGTAGCGACCTGGCTCTTGCCTTTATTGTGTTCTCGCACGAAGCCTACTAAGCGTACGAATGAGGGACAGGCTTCTGGGGCACCATACCATGGCTGAAGAGAAATTGTGACAACATTCCATCAAGGGAATGATGCTACGAATTGTTCAAGCTTCTACTGCATCAAGAAAAACTTACTGGCCCACACTTCGTTCAAGCCTACTGGAAAGAAAGGCCTAAAAATTACCGTTATCATTTTGAGATTCATGTGAGGTACCCTACAATTACCATAACCGTACAAGGAATCTAGGACCATATTGCTACCATTTTTCTTAGGCCCCTACATTACGTAATCCCTTGTAAGCATCCAGCTTCCAACTCTCCATTATCAGTGCAAGGATCCCCCTCAGTTCTATAGATCTTAAAATGCCCATAATTTGTCCATATGACTATTATTATGGTTAGCATGAGAACTATTACTACTATATTTCTTGGTACTATTTTACTATTACTCTGGGTTGGCCCCTAAAACCTTGTGAAAAATACCAGCATATAGGGTTCCCTTATTAAAGCAATTAGGGAAAGTATTAAATATCCCAGGGGCCTACTCAGTACTATTATTACTATCATTCGTGGCCAGGCCTTGATGGAGCGTATGGGTTGTGTTCTCGCCGTGCGCAGATGTGGGCCTCCTGCCACATGCTGTTTAGGGGAGGACAGACGCCCCCCTGCAAGAAGGACCCTTAGAACGGAATTGTGCGGGGACGCATGGGTTTCAAAAGGGTCTATCCTATCTACCCGAATTTATGGGCAACCTAGAATCCAAAATGATCGCTAAAGCTTCGGGGCACATCTTATACTATATTACCCCCAATTCCCATTTCATGTTCGATGTTGTTTCCCATTTGATTCCCCAGTACTGGTAACACACCCCACAAAACCCTAGCTTGCCACTTGTCTCCGTTCTGAGCAATAGTATCGTTTCTGCGTTGTGGCTGACTTTCAGCTTGTCAAGAATATCTGGGAAACGCTGAGGCCAACGCGCAGTCCCCCACCAACTTGCTTTCGCAGTTTTTCACGATGATAAGTCCCCTGTTTTCACGGCCCCCATAATCTGTAGTCTCCTTAGACCTATAGTAAAATGATATTGCTATTCCTTAGGGTTACACTATAATGAAAATTCATAATAATTCCCAAGGAGACTACAGTACTAAGGACTCCAGTAGTTGGTAGGTGTGAAGTGGGGACCGCAATCTTGAACAACCCGCGTTTGGAGCTTGCTCTAAAGCATTTTAAAACCTTCCACTGCCATGTGGGGGCCCCTTATTTGGGAAACTACCATATGAGGATCATACAGGTGTTATGATGAAAGCTCAGAGGGATGTTGGGTTGGCTTACGTTGCAAAGCTTTTGTTTGCCCACGAGGCTGCTGAGTAAATTGCTTCGTAGAGGTTCTTCACAATCCGCTCGTGTTTCAGAGGTTCGGAGTAAGGAAAAACATTGGGCTGAACAATTGTGTATATATATCTATATACAAAATGTGGAACCCTTCTTAGATTACCTTTGCTTGAGGTTAGACAGGCAGCTCACGACCTGTTATCATAGGAGCCTGGCTGAGCACAAACATCATCTTGAAATCTATTTGAGGCACTCTATACACTAACTGTGCAAGGATTCTAGGACCATAATAGTGGCAACTATTCCTACGGAACACAAAGCCCTCTGTAACCCGAGTTGTCATTTCATTGTTAAATTTCTTTTCCACTTCATTCCCCCTTCTTAAGCCTTAAGCCCTAAACCCTATACAGGGACCGTACGAGAATCACATTGGTATAGATTCCCATACAGGGACCCTAGAACTCCTTTGGCCCCTACAGCAGCACGTGGTCTGGCTGCGAATGACTTCACTAAGCTCATGTCAGGGGGCTCAAAAGGTGGGATAAAGCTAGGTGGCTTAAAGGATCCCTGTTGTAGATTCTATTGGGGCTTATTTCCTAAACCCTAAACCCTAAACCCTACCCCATCTTCCGTTACCTCACCCTTTGAGCCAGTGGCAGTTACCGCGAAAGATAACTGCACCTTAAAAGCCTAAACCTAAACCCCTAAGCCTTGGGCACTGCCCCCACCCAGTAACAGTCTATATTAGGGGTCCTGTTAAGGGCTATATATAACCATAATATACTTATTATCCAACTGTTACTGAGGGGGGGCAGTACCCAACGTACGCCCCTAAACCCTAAAGGAGGACAGTTACTGGGAGGTGGAATGACCAAACATGTTCTCCAGAAAGCTTTAGCACTCTAAACCCTAAACCCTAAACCCTAAATCGCCCCTGGCTTTTATTTGCAAAGCCAGGTTCGGAGCCATCAAAACATTTGGGGGGGAGGGTGTGCCTTTTTCTGGGGAGGAGGGGAGGGGGGGGGGGGTAAATAATCAGAACCTGTAATATAGGGATACATATGATTCTTAGGCATCGTAGTACGTTGGCAGTTTTTTCATGGGGCCCCCCTATTTATTAAACAAGCGCAGAAGCCTTTAAATCCGAAGCGCGCCCTAGCAGACCCCAACTCTTTTTAAACCCATCTACTTTGGGGATTTATACGAACAGAACTTAGCAATCAACTATCCAAGCGGTGTCCTGGGTTCACTTAGAAAAGCATGCTTCGCAGCGTCGTTTTCATTACAAACTGCGGGATCTTCTGGGGGCCCCTGAATTTTGCCAAGGAAGCTTTAGGGATCAACCAGCGTTCAAGCCAGAACCTGAAAGATTCGGTCCCGTCATAGAGATTACTTAATTAGGGATATACGTTCGGGTAGGTTTAGGGTTTGAAGAGTTTTTCGCCAACGTTTTTACTTCTATTAGAAAACACTAACACAAATTTATTACCAGTAGTGGTACCTCCCTCATTCACTGTTATCACAGAATACTGCAACGTTTTTGGCAAGGACTCTCTTAACAGGGGTCCAACAGTACAAGCAGCCACAACAACCCTAAACCCTAAATAGCAGTTTCCATGTTATTTTCCCTAATCCCGGTATACCCCAAATATAACCGCTAAACACCAACCCCCACCTCCATGGCCACACTGATGTCCTCCATGACGACGAGTCTCTTGTACAAGACGCACTTCCACAGTGAAATTGTTGGGTATGGTAATATGAACTCAGCCGGTTGGCTTTGACTGGCCTTCACGTATCAAATGCTTGCTGTTGAAGACTGGTCGAAAACATATACCTTGAGCCGTGCTCACTTCGAAAGTTACAGATTGCACATGAGCTATAGTCTAAACTCCTAGTATCCCCCTAATAACCCTTTTGGTAGTCCCATATGTAATCCCCCATGTAACCCCCTTTAAGGAGTTTTAGATTATAGCTCAGATGAAGATGAAAAGGAAGCAGGGAGTGCTGGCAAACGACTGCTGGAGCGGGCACACAAGGAGACTGCGGCCTTTGCTTGGGCAATAGTCAGCACATCTTGCCACTTGAAGCGTTTGTTGGTTTACCCTCTGTGTCTGGGTTGGCCCCTAAAACCAATTGAAAAATGTTAATATATAGGGCCCCTTATTAAAGCCATTAGGGAAAATATTAAATATCCCAGGGGCCTACCCAGGTGTTCGTCCTTGGAGGATCTCAGGGCTATCCCACAAAGCAACTTAAGTGGCAGCAAGGGCCCAGCAGCAGCCGAACTTGGTGTAGCTTGAGCAGCTCACTCCCCGGCAACGAATACGTAGACACAAACAATCAATGGAGAAATATGTTTCTTGCTGTGCCGTTCCCAACCTTTAATGCATTCGAACTTCATGACCTGCCGTAACAAAAATAGAACGAAAAGCTGGCAGAAGCTTGCTTCCAAAAGATTGCTTTTCGCCAGGTCATTAGCAATTCATTGCCATCGCGGGGTAAGACTTTGCGCGAAAGCTTCGCCGGCTCATGACGCCTGCAACAACCCACTTTCAACTCAGCACAATTCATCTTGCTTGCGCAGCCACCATCTTGCAAAGCACGAAGCCACTTTTCTGCTCAAGGAAGGCTTTGCAGAAACGAGCGCATCTGCTGCGGAAGCATCTCCACATCCGCCCAGGAAGAGGCTACGTGCAACTGTGCCTGAGGCAGTAAGTCCTCAGAAGGTGCATGCACATGCTGACTTGAAAGTTGGCACGGATGGCGTTGACTGTTCAATGCCAAGCTGCGCAAAGTAGCTCAGCACTTTCCAGAGGATGCTGCGCATCTGATTTCCATGCCAGGACAAGCACTGGCATTGTCAAGCCTCGGGACTTGTTGACAGAGGCTGTCAAGCCATGACACTGGGAATGTGCCAAATGCTTACATGATGCATGGACCAGAGGCCTAGAACTATCACTGCCGCCGGGAGGGTCTCATGCTGCAGGCACAGTGAGCAGGTCGTTGTACGCTCGCATTTGGTTGTGAAAAAATCATGTCAGAAGCACAGGGACACGCGGGAAGCACTCCACACAAAATTCAAAAGCATTTGCGGCAGAGTATATATGACACACTCCCAGGATTTCAAACAGAACACTATTCGATTTCGGACAACTTCCTGAGCACTGCTACTACTAACCTTGCTGACCCGACTCAAGATCCAAGCTGCGCTTCAATTCCGATGGCGGAGGCAAGTCCGAGTCGATGGCGCCCCGGAGCGCTGCACAGTATCGACGCTGGCCCATGGCAAACTTGGCTCGCCATCCGATGTCGAACGAAGCCTCGCAAGCTTGCTTAGAAAGAATTCTGAACGATGGTTAGAAACGTGGGATGTGCTATGCTGAAATCATACTCATTACTTGTGCGCATTGCGTGTATGAATGCCTCTTTACATACATGTCGCCCTTCGCTACCCCAGCACCGCTGATCATCGTCGTCATCATCATGTGGGTGTCTCTCGGAACAAGGTGCCCTTTGTCATCCTAGGGATGAATGGATCCAAAACATAAGTATATGTGTATACATATATATATATGTATATATTATACATGTGGTAATGAGGAACACAAAGGAATTCTGGTGTCCTTGTTCAGGATTCCGTGGGGACAAGTTTGAGAGATACCCATTAGGGGCTTCCATACATAGGGGCCCCCCGATATAGACCGTACTTGACTATGATTATCTATACATGATAGCTCTTATCTGGACTCCAAGGAAGGGCCTTAAACCCCAAACCCTACCTAGACCCCCCAAGTAGCCTAAAATAGGGTCTATGTAGCTTCTATTAAAGCCCCTAAGTTTTGGAAACCCCCATCTAGTACTTGCTTTGTATTGGAACTGACTGAGCATGGTCAGGCCACAGTTCGTACCGCTGCAATATACCCTCCTTGCTGAAGTCCCTGGGCGTAGAGAGTTTAGGGTTTACTCAAAAAAGGCTGACCGTCATTATTGTCATGATTAAAGATGGTGATCGTCAATGATAATACTTAATGAATACTGTATATATATATATATACACGCACCCCAGAAGGATAATCCGTACTCAGCTATTCAGCTACATAATGACATAGTCGTCTGGACATGATCCACAATCCTCTCATGGAAGCGTGCATGATTGGGGTGGGGAAGTGGAAGCTACCATCATGTTTTGAAGCGCCCGTTTTACCAGCAGTGCAGGCTACCGAAACCCTAAACCCAAATGTTGAGGGCTACAGGGTTTGTAGGGAGAAGGGGCATTGACCCAAGTCTTGTCCTGAAACGACAATTCTCAAATCGTCTCGTAGGTTATCCATAGTAAGTAGAAACTCAGAATCGCCTTGTAATCCCTGAGGCCTATCTGCTAAACCTTGTAATCCCCATTTTACCCGAGGCTCCCAAGGATCCCAACCATGTCCGGGATACCATGGGTTTGGGAAACAAGGAGGTAGGGGTTCCGGGTTTAAGGTTTAAGTGGCACTTTCTATGGGCAGGGGGACCCCCATACAGACACCCAAATGCTATAAGCCTTATCCAAAAAGGTACCACTAATTTTAGGAATCCCCAATTTGTCACTTATTATGGGGATTACATGCCAAGCGGCGCGTCCAGCTTCCGTCTCCAGGAAAATCGGGGGGCGGGCCTGTACATTCAGATACTGGTGGCTAGTAAGGAATGAGGGACTGGAATATGTGAACCGGGGATCATATGGTAGTTTCCCTAAATACGCAGACCCTGATATAAACCACAAAATACTATAGTCCTTATTATAAGGACCCCCCAAAAAGGATACCCCTAATTTTGGGAAACCCCCATATAGATCTTGCTGCACAACATCCGGACCCTAAACCCTTAACCCTAAACCCTTCTTCCAGAATCTTACCCGTGCTTGAGATGGAAGTGGGGGAGGGAAGAAAGTAGGCACTTGGGGGGTCAGGGGGACGTAGTAATAATGGAAAAGAAAATGGAAACTACTACAATATTTAGGGTTTAGGGTCAGGGGAACGTAGTAAGTAGGTTAATAGTGGGGATAAATGGGCTTACTATATGGGTTATAGGGGTTATTAACCTACTTACTAAGTCCCCTGACCCTAAACCCTAAAGCCTAAATACTACAGTAGCTTCCATTTTCTTCTCCATTATTATTATATAACCCCTGTAAGTGATTATAGGGATATTAACCTACTTACTAAGTCTCCCTGACCCTCCAAGTACTGCTCGAGGTATGCATGGTTAGTCGAAAGGATCCACTCCCTACCCTCCTCAATCAATAAAGGGACTCTGTAGGGAACCCCAAGAATATAGCAGGAATATACTGGACTACAAGGACCCTGGTAAGTATTTTCCTATTATATACCTACTATAGCCTTGGGGTTCCCGGTTTGGGGTTCCCAGTAGAGTCCCTTCAATCAACGGAGCGTGTGCGACCTCTAAGGGGCTCAGAATCACAACCTTAATTAGGCAAGTAGCTTGGGACCACCAGTGGTGGGGATTGCATTAGGATCACTGCGGGCATACATTCAGTGCTTATCACCTGTAAGTACCAAGGAGTTGAACTTCATCTGACGAGCCCTTCAGCGAGGGAAAATCCTGCAACCCTTGGTAGTTGCCCTAAATAGGGGACTCCAATATAGACCCCCAAATACTATAATCCTTATTATGAGGACCCACCAAAAGGTACACCGAATTTTGGGAAACCCCCGCTTAGGATCCTAACAGCGCTAACATTCCTGAGATACATTGTGGGACACATGAGGCGGTGCAAGACGTCCTCCATCCACAGTTACATCGCCGAAGAAGACAAAATTTGGTCCGTGAGACTTGTTACTGACCGGGATCGTATTATGTAGAACACATAGGGGCAGAGATGCGCGCACACACACACACACACCCACACACGCACTGGCACAGGCACACGACTCCATTAGAACACAGCAACAAAATGGTAAGTCTGGATCATGCAAAAAGAATGGAATGGACGCTCAACAACATGAGCTATAGTCTAAACTCAGAATATCCCCCTTAATAACCCCTATAGTAGTCCCATATATTATCCCTTCTACAACCCCCTTGAATAGGAGATTGGACTAAACCTCACATGGATATTCACCACGCCCTGCCTTGCTTGCAGCAGCTTCTTTAGCTGCTTCCAGGCCTAGCTGGAGCAACTCAGGCTGATGTTGGCGTCAAGAAGAAGCTGTGCACTGCAATTGGTAATTTCCCAAAATAGGGGTACCCCGATGTAGACCCCTATAACCCTGAGTATGGGGACCCCAAAAAGGTACTCCCAATTTGGGAGACCCTTGTATTCCATTTACATGATGAAGGCAAACCCTGTCAAGCCTTGCTCCTGCGCGACTTCAAGGCTCTGCTCATAGAGGGGCACAAACTTCCGTCCTTGACTGGCATGTACAATCCCTATAATCCCTTTAGTTTCCATTTTCTTTTCCACTATCCCCTATATTACCCCAATATAAGCCCTTATACTAGTTTCCATTTTCTTCTCCATTATCCCAATATTACCGTTGTCTTAAAGAAAATGTTCAGTGAGCATGACAGCCCGCAGGTCATAGCCTCATTCAAATGAGGTCCGGGCTTGTTTCGTAGCAGGTCGGCGGCGTAGCAAGAATCAATGCTGCAACTTTCTCCGGAGCCTGTCTTGCAGTTGCTGATCAACAAAGTCATTCATGGCATTTTCCATTGCATTTTCCATTTGAACCTCCACTGTTGCTGTAACACCCATGTACAATTCCTATAGATATGCATATATATATATATCCCTTTAGACTTAAACGGGGCTAGGGTTTCCATTTCATGTTTCATTTTCTTTTTCATTGGATCCTCCACTTGTGAAATTTCCCCCCATCCCAACATAATCTGCATAGCATCACCATATGCACCATGTATCCCGATACAATCCCGATATAGTCCGCGTAACTTCACAAACCCTCAGCCCCAAGCCCTGAACCCTAATCCCTAAACCCTCAATCCTAAACCCAAAATCCTGAATCCTCATCCTCAACCCATAAAAGCCCTAGACCCTAAACCCTAAATCCCTAAACCCTAAATAGTAGTTTCCATTTTCTTTTCCATTTTCCCAAGATAACCCCTATATTACCCCTATGAACTCCCTTAAAATAGTACCCCCAACTTTGGGAACCCTAAACCCTATATAATCATCTATATAATCCCAGCCTCCATTTCATTTTCCATTTTCTTTTCCACTTGATTCTCCATTATTCTAATAACCATAAGCGCGAAATCCCTAAACCCTAAATAATCCTAAATAGTAGTTTCCATTTTCTTTTCCATTTTCCCAAGATAACCCCTATATTACTCCTATGAACCCCTTAAAGGTCTCCCGCCTCCAAGGCTCCGTATAAGCTGGCCGCTGCACCCATGCTTGTACCGCCGAGGACGACCGGCCGACCCGGAAGCATTGTCTCCTGGACTACAGGATTGGGGTTTAGGGTTTAAGGATTAGGGTTTAGGGATTAGGGTTTAGGGTTTGAGGCCTTTTTTCTTTTTGACGCCCCTTCGCACCTTTTCTCCAAGTGCCCTCAGGCTAGGGGAGCTTATCTCGGGTTTAGGTATTAGGGTTTAGGGTTACTGCACTTACGATAATAAGCGTACCTTGTTGTTTACACTATTACAGTACCACAACAAGGGTATATAGGGTTTAGGGCTACTGTAACCTATGACTTACTATATTAAAATACCATAACTATAAGGGTATATAGCTTTTTGGGGTTTACAGACTTTTTGAAAACAAAGGACTTCTACGTCTGCATCAACGCCTTGGCCTCGGTAAGAAGAACCTGAAATTTGACATGTCACATGAGCCATTGGGGTTCTATTGGGATAATGCAAAAGAAAATGGAAACTACTATAATGGGTTATATGAGCCATTGTCTAAACTCCTAGTATCCCCCTTAATAATGGAGAATCAAATGGAAAAGAAAATGGAAAATGAAATTATATAGGGGATTCTAAAGGTTTGGAGTCTAAACTCCTAGTATCCCCCTTAATATCCCCCATAGTACTCCCCATATATAATCCCCTATATAACCCCCTTTAAGGAGTTTAGACTATAGCTCACATCAGTCACCGGCAACATCAGCTACTGACACGTGCATTTCACAAAGGACACTCAAGAGATTGGACGATGCGAAGCTGCAATGACAGCAGCAAGCACTTACTGCATTGTGCTATTCGGCATTCAAACACATTCCGCATGGCATATACAATTTAGGGTTTAGGGTGACTATAATAAGGACCCCCTGCTCTACTGTGTAGACCAATCTTATGGTGACTTAATTTAAGCTCCTTACCAGCAACCCTAAACCCCTGTTTCCATGTCATTTTTCATTGTCTTTTCCATTGGATTCTCCATTATTGGGAGGGTAGTTAATTGCAACCCTAAACTGTAACTAAACACCAGTTGTTTTTAACTGCAGCCCAGTCTCATGCATGTTCCGCAAGTCGGACCCCATGGCCTGACAAGACTTACGGATGTCTGGTGCTTGGGGCTTATAAGGATCCAAAACGGAATTCTTGAGCCGAGGCTGGGGGGAGGTGGGCTGCCAGCCTGCCATGTGCATGCATCAGCTGGGTCAGATTTGCCATGGCCACGCGCATCGTAGCGGACCTTAACCAGGCAGCTTCTGTCGCAAAGTATGCGTGCCCGTGTCGCGTACACTCAAGCCGGGGAGCCACCGGCAGAACTTCTGACAGTTCCGGAACGCCTCCGAAAGGCCAGCCGCCTGCATGCGCAAAAACAGCTGTGCAGCGCCTTGAGTTCAAAACGTACTCAGGAAGAGGAGTGGCTGTGATAAAGCTGACTGCCTGCATCGATGCCCTGCGGCTTCGACTAGGACACCGCATGTCCATACATGCCCCATACATCTTGTTGGTGCTTTTGAGTGAGCCAAGGGGTAGGGGCAGTGGATCTGCACAATGATTTCTACATCATCCCCATCTTAACCCCTGTATCATAGCTTCACCCCCGTTTAAGCAGCAATTTCATACGGCCAGGCCTTGGCTTTCACTTTCGACGGAGCTTGTAAGGCCATGAGTCCATATCTGGGCAGGAGACTATGAGCACATCCCTCTGCTTTTGCCTTATCGATGTATGCCGTACATAGGTGCTTATCTGTAAACCAAAATACACATACACAAAGAAATACGTACATAATTAGAATTATGTGCACATGCTTCTGATCAAAGCATGCTGTCACTTTGAGTGCGCTGCAAAAGTGCAGTCTTTCCGAGCATTCGTGGAGCGAGTGACCTGGAGCTCCGCATGAAAAGGGGCATTAATAGCTTCCCTACGTAGGGGCACCAATATAGACCCCAAAGTGCCACATCTCTTATTAATACGGGCCCCCAAAAACCCTAAACCCTAAATCCTACATGACCCCTACATAACGTCTATAAACCCATTTAAAGGTACCCCCTATTTGGGGAATTCAAGCTTACTAAACATTCCCCCAACTCGTCCGGGGGACTTCAAAACGCAAGGACAATGGGCCCGCAATAGGCCGAGGTAGTGAACCTGTGCATCCGTTATAGGGGTATGTAGGAATATATAAGGACTATATGAGGATATATAGGGATGTATAGGGATATATAGGGGTATATAAGGAGGTATAGGTATATATAGGGGTATATGGGGATGTACAGGGAGGGATGTATAGGGTTGAATTGCAACACTGTGCATGTGGGAAATAGCTGCTACAGGGCCTTGGTGTACAGGAACACTGCCACGCAGGAGTGCTGGCGTATGATGCAATTCCTTGGTACTTACTTCCCACACACCTTATTGTTTGCTGTCAGCAATAGCTCCCATATCCCACAGCAGACATGCAATTGCAGCACGGCCTGCAAGGCAGATGTTGATTGCCACAATTTCTGGCACGGCTTTTGTGCAAGCAAGCTGCATTTTGTCCATCACCATGATGTGAACCGTATGCTCCAAGGCGAGAAAGCCGCCGAAATGATCGCCACATGGCGTGCAAGTCAGGCACAGAAACCCAACGTCTTAAAGTCTTAGGTTCGGCAGATACCACGTGTCCTGAGCCGAAGCCCTTTGTAGTTTGAGAGCCTGCAGAGTCGTCTGTGGCCACTTCTGTTTGTCAGCGATGGGCCCAATTTGCAATAAAGCTTTGGAAAATGGCTGGGCAGAAGCACGACGCCAATCTCAGGTGTGCGTTCAGGCCATCACAATTACTCCTATGGTTCGTGGTCCTAACACAAAAACGGAATTACCATTAACTACCATGTACTATTATGACAGCTATGATACCACTGCCAGTATTACCAATACTATTATGACCATGAAGCTGCTATCATGGGGGCCTAACAGAGGAGTTTGTCCCTACACCCCTCTTGACAAGCTCTATAGCCCCACCTGCCAATCTACCTAGACAATCTCTCCGCATCCAAGGAGTTCACCCTAGCCCGTAAACCCCAAACCCTAGACCTCTTACTCCGAGCCCTAAATGCCTAAACTCTAATCCCATGAGCCATGCGCCAGCTATCCCAAAACCCACCCAACTCGAAGTCGCCAATTCCCCAATCCCCAAACCCTTCCTGGGTTGCTGTTAAGGAACTTAAATTAAGCTACTATCTTGGGGAAACCCTATTATTTACAATATATACCCATTATGGTAACTTAATTTAAGTTCCTTAACAGCAACCCAGCTTCAGCACGAACGGGCCTCAGCACTGGATGGCTTGGGCTCGCCTGACACGCCCAGAGCGGACTGCCTCAGTCCGTTGAAGTTCTTCAGGGGCCCAAGGATACAGAGGGACCGCGCGTCTGAGGGCGACCATTTTGAGAACCCAGCTTCTCAGTACCATAACAAACAACAATGTTCGGGTCCCAATGTGCTGCCACCGCAAAGCCTGAACCCTGAACCCTAAGGTGGCTGGGCCAGCAAAGCCAGATCGTTTCCAGCTTATGTGTCGGAAGCTTCACGTACAACATCTTGAGGCATCTTTGGAAGACTAATATCCCTTCAAAACGGCCTCTCCTCCCTACACTAACATGGACCCCCTGTTTGCAGCTTTGAGAAAGACAGCACCACCAATCCCAAACCCTTGGCCTTAGGTCACAATCCTGTTGGGGTTCCATGCTAGCATGGGGGAGGCTATTCACGATCACCCATCAAACCATGACTGTCCACACAAGAGCCGAGCGGTTCTGTCGTTGATGGTCCCACCAGGAACGGATCTCCATGCCTAAGGAATTTACTTGGTGGATGGGCTTGGGGTCTATATTCGGATGGATCTTCCAGATATTTCTCCCCATATTATAGAACTCACCCCCAGCCCCCAAGAAAAACATATATTTTTTGATACTATAATAGCATTCTGGAACAACTTGAGGGTTGTTCTAAAGGCCCCTTTTCACGGAGGGACCATGGATAGGTGTAATAATTACACCTCCTGAAGTGGAGACCCCAACCAAAAAGCGAACCTAAATGATGGCTACTTTGAAGACAAGTAATGTGAACGACCACCATTTATGATTGGGCCGTGCGGAAGCGTGTGAAATTTGTGCGCGCCACCCTCTACATTTTATGAGCTTCCTAAATCTGACCATGCAGGAAACGCAAGCGGGGTTTCCTAGGATTCTAGACATAGGCCACTTAGCGATGTTGTTTACGTAAGCTATGCCTCTAGCCTGCCCGAGAACGCCAAGATCGTCGTAGGTGGCCCCAACCGGCTTCACCTACTTCAGAAAGGGTTTATAATAGGGTTTAGGGTTTAGGGTGGGTCTCCCGGCCTAAAAACGAAAATGCGATAATCCCTGTTATAAGTAGAGTTCCCCTTAAGTAGATAGAATATGGCTTTGGGTATACTACAATGAGATCCCCGTATACCTCATATTCTATCTACTTAAGGGGGGCTATACCCTCCCACAAGGTACTCCTAATAGGGCCTAACTTCCCAGAAGCTCCCGGCTTGCCACGGCCCAGGCCCTTCTCTGTGTCCGCAGCACACAATTTGCGCAGCTGTTGCCAGAGCTGAGCCTCAGCACTACAATCTCCTGGCTAGCTTTTTGAGGAACTTAACTTAGGCTAGCATAATGGGTATATGGGTGGTTGTCAACATTTCTGGTCCGTTTTTGGATCCTGATTATAGTACGGCACCTAATGTTTAGGGTACTCAAAAAGAGATCATAATCTTCACAACCACCCCTTACCAGCAACCCAGTCTTGTTGGTGTTTAGTACTGCCCGGAGTGGTAGGGTTGTCATGGTGGAGTAGTTAGGGGGTCACACGTCCCCAACTTACCATAATGTTCGGAAAGCGAAGCCTATGTGTGAGATGGAAACATGGGCATGCAACCCGCACATGCTAACAGATCTGAAGGCACATGATGAAATGCTTCTGCGCCTGGGAAAATTTTGAAATGTGGACCCACAAATAGGGCGTCGCGTTTTCTCAGCAGGACTTTGCGAGCTGCTTTCTAAGGTCA